GGGGATTAAACTTTCCAGATTTTCCTACATAGGAAGGAAAACTTGCCAAATCTTCTATTTTGATTTCTGGACTTTTTTTTCTTGGAATTGGCTTTAAAAAAACACCCAGAGTTCCTCTGGTACCAAAAAAAAAAAAAAAAAACCCCTTTCCCATTCTTTGCCTATATTTAAAATCTCACTGGAACAGAATTAATTGGCAATTAATTGTTATGAGGAGGAGGAGGAGGAGGAGGAGAAGGAGGAGGAAGAGGAAGAGGAGGAGGAGGAAGATGACTGTGCAGTTTCCAGGGATTCTTTAGCACTTTTGCACTTGGCTTGGTCTAATATGCTCCCAGTTTCCCAGTTGAAACCATGGTTAAGTCTATCCAGGTGTTGTGCAACTAAGGAGTTTTCCTCCTGTCTTCCGACTGCTGTTTGGTGTTCACGGATGTGCTCTGCTCATCTTCGGTCTGTTTGTCCTATGTGGGGGCTGTTACGGTCCTCACACTGTAACAACTTGTGGGTGACTTCCATTTTTTTTTGCCAGGGCTGCTGAGTCTACAGGCTTTTAAAGCATAGTTGAGTCAGTTTTGTGTCTGCCTAGGCCAGGGGTAGGCAACCTTGGATCTTTTATGACTGGTGGACTTCAACTCCCAGAATTCCTGAGCCAGCATGGCTCAGCTTGGAAACGTCCCCCTTTCCCCTCAGCATGGCTGGCTCAGGAATTCTGGGAGTTGGAGTCCACACGTCTTAAAGTTGTTGAGGTGCAGAAACAATGGACTAGGCCAGAGGTAAGCAACCTTGACTCTTTTATGACTGGTGGACTTCAGCTCCCAGAATTCCTGAGCCAGTGTGGCTCAGCTTGGAAACATCTCCCTTTCCCCTTAGCGTGGCTGGCTCAGGAATTCTGGGAGTTGAAGTCCACAAGTCATGAAGAGGCCATAGTTCCCCCACGGTGGCTCAGGAATTCTGGGAGTTGAAGTCCACGAGTCATAAAAGGGCCAGGTTTGAAGACCCCTGGTTTAAATATTTAAATATTTTTTCCTCACGGTGACGTGATCAAAATTCAGGCATTTGGGCAGGGGTAGGCAACCTTGGCTCTTTTATGACTCGTGGACTTCAACTCCCAGAATTCCTGAGCCAGCATGGGGGAACTATGGCCCCCTCATGACTCGTGGACTTCAACTCCCAGAATTCCTGAGCCAGCCACGCTGAGGGGAAATGGAGAGGTTTCCAAGCTGAGCCATGCTGGCTCAGGAATTCTGGGAGTTGAAGTCCGCGAGTCATAAAAGTGCCAAGGTTTGCTTACCACTGACCTAGGTAATCCTTATAATAGCTCATTTAGTGACCACTCAAAGTTACAGCAGCACCGGAAAAAAGTGAGTGGCCACTTTTCCACGCTGACGGCACTTTCAGCATCCCTGTGGTCACGTGATTGAAATTCAGACGCTCGGCAACCGACTCGTATTTATGACGGTTGCAGCCTCCTGAGGTTACGTGATCCCCTTTTGTGACCTTCCGACAAGCCAAGTTGATGTGGACGCCGGATTCACTTAACAACCGTGTTGCTAACTGAATCACTGCAGTGATTCACTTAACAACTGTGGCAAGAAATGTTGTAAAATTGGTCAAAATTTTGCCGGACAAACGTTTTGCTTAGCGATGTAAACTTTGGGGCTCCATTGCGGTCATACGTTGAGGACTCCCTGCGTAAAGCCTCCCTCTGGCGCTGAACAGAGACAGCGAAGTTTCCAAGTTTCTAAGTTTCCAAGCCTGATCTTGGCTTCCTTGCGCTCCACTTCTAGGTCCTGAATCAAACCTCCCGGATCGAAATACAACTGCTGGAGAATTCCCTGTCCACAAACAAGCTGGAGCGGCAGCTGCTGATGCAGACGAACGAGATCCACAAGCTCCAGGATCAGAACAGGTGAGCCCCTGGCGGAAGGAAATACAGGTAGCCCTGGGGGAGAATCTTTGCAGCTCAGGGTTGAAATGAGGGCTCCTTGGGGCTCTCTGAGCTGGGTGGCTTTCTGGCAGATGTTTCATGACCCAAATTAGAGGAGGAGGAGGAGGAGGAGGAGGAGGAGGAGGAGGAGGAGGAGGACGACGACGACGACGACGACGACGACGACGACGACGACGACGACAACTATGGAATCCTTGATGCTCTCTGAGCTTGGTTCTTTTCTTGCAGACGTTTCATGACCCAACTGGATAACATCATCAGTGCTAGCAGGGAGTGGGCTTTGCAGAGATGAGGAGGAGGAGGAGGAGGAGGAGGAGGAGGAGGAGGAGCAGCAGGAGCAGGAGCAGGAGCAGGAGCAGGAGGAGCAGGAGGAATAAGAGGAATGTGAGGTCCCTGATGCTCTCTGAGTTTGGTCTTTTCTTGCAGATGTTTCATGACCCAAACTAGATGACATTGTCAGTGGTAGAAAAAGTGGGGTGTGTGGACATGAGGAGGAGGAGGAGGAGGAGGAGGAGGAGGAGGAGGAGGAGGACGACTGTGGAATCCTTGGTGCTCTCTGAGCTTGGTGATTGCCTTGCAGACGTTTCATGACCAACCGGGGAATATTATCAGTACTAGAAGGGAGTGGGGTGTGCGGACACAAGGAGGAGGAAGAGGAGGAGAGGAAAGGACTGTGGGGTCCTTGGTGCTCTCTGACAGTTGTTTTCTTGCAGACATTTCATTGCCAAACTAGGTAACATCATCACTGCTAGTAGGAGTGCTGTTTGCTGTCTGTTTATATTCTGGTGTCTTGCCTGTCTGTGTGTGTGTGGGGGGTAGTCTTAGGGATTCTTTGGTTGGGCTGTTTACTAATGGCTCTTTGGCAGTTTCTTGATTAAGGTATTGCCTGCTACCTGATGGTTGGTCTGAAGTGGATTAACTAGATAGAGAGATGGAGGGAGGCGGGAGAGAGAGAGAGAGAGAGAGAGAGAGAGAGAGAGAGAGAGAGAGAGAGAGAGAGAGAGAGAGAGAGAGAGAGAGAGAGAGAGAGAGAGAGAGAGAGAGAGAGAGAGAGAGAGAGAGAGAGAGAGAGAGAGAGAGAGAGAGAGAGAGAGAGAGAGAGAGAGAGAGAGAGAGAGAGAGAGAGAGAGAGAGAGAGAGAG